GCCTGGGTTGCCTCCCGTGAGTGACGGCTGGCTCCCGGGGGGGGCTTCACTTGTGGTCCCGGTTCCACCTCCACACCACGCTGAACCGTCCCTCTTCCTGGCAGCCCCTCGGGGACTCTGAAGATCGTGACCATCAGGTGCTGTCAGGGTCTCTGGTTCCTTTCACCTTGGTTATCCAGGATGCTGTCCCTCACCCCCAACTTCTGGAGACTGCCCCACTGCAAAATGAGGCTGTGGGCCCCAGGGACCCTGGGTCACAGCTGAGTGCAGGGTCTCCACACTGGCCCTGGACAGCCCCCGCTTTCCTACCACCAATGCCCTGAGCAGACCCAACAAACCATGGCCTCGGGTGGAGGTCCAGAAGCTGAGACGGGCGGTGGGACACTTTGCCCTGTTAACACCCCTGCTCCACCTGTTTCTGCAGGGATTGCGGACTATAGACCCCAGAATGGAGAAACCATCGAGCTGAGGCTGGTCGCCTGGTAGCCCCTCAGCTCACGGACCCCAGCTGCCGCGAACAATCTCTGTACTTCTGCCTTCGGTCCAGACATCCCAGAAACAGACACGTGCCTGACCTTGCCACCACCTCGAGTGCACTTAGAGCCACGTCCTCGGTTCACCCAACCACCACCCCTGCAAGGCTCCTAGGCCACTGCCCACCTGGAAGAAGGGGGCCAAGCATCTCCCCCGGGATGTCTGTCTGCCTAGGTCTGGCCCAGCCTGGCCCTGCAGGCAGCCCGTGAAGGCCACTCAGTCTGCACAAAGCATCTCAGACTCCTTAGCACAAGAAGTCTGCTGGCCACTGGCATTGAGTGCCATCTGCTTTGAGATTAGGGTCCCACAAGGAGACCTGTATGGCCCAGGGGCCGCAGCCCCGAGCCTACCTCTCCGGTGCACTGTCAGGGCGGCAACCCCAGAGCTCGCTGCTCAAAGCCTACCTTCAGAATGATTAAAGTGTTGGTTATGCCCACGCCCCAGTGTCCTGGTGCCTCACTCTGGGGAGCAAGTGCAGGCGCCCTGTGCAGAGAAAGCGGGGAGGGTCCTCCTGGCAGGGAACACAGGAGGGTAGGTGAGTATTCTGGGTCCTGGGGAAACGATGCTGGCAGTGGCAACGTTGATGGCCATTTAGGGAGCATGTGCTCGCTAGACACTTTCTTGCATAACTTTGAGGCCGTTGATATTTTTATTGAGACACCACAGTGTGAAGCACAGCTTAGGAGATAGACAGACCCAGCCTGGGCAGCCTCTTGGCTCCATGCAAACACTGGAACCTGGAGGCTTCACTGATTGTTATGGTTACTTGGCGGAGACCAAATTCAACTGGAGGCCCAGGACCCTGGAGCTTGGGTTCTCACCCCTGGCCTTTCCCCAGCACAGTCAGGACACCAGCCCCGGCCTTAGCAGCCGGGGTGTGGGGACTCTGCCTCTCAGTGGGAAGGCTCTGGGTATCCTCTGGGAAGTGGGGCTCAGGCACGGAGACATCCTACTCGCCCCATCCCACTGACGTTAGGAAGGGGGCCTGCCCTAGGAGGGGTCCGTGATTGATAGCCTGTCGGTCAGGTTTTATAGTGATGCACACAGAGTCCTCAAAACCACAGATTAAACACGGGCCTCTCCCTAGAATGCCAGCTTCAAATATGTCGGGTCCAGGTAGGTAGCAGAAGTAGGCAATTTACGAGTTCTTTCATACTGAAACAAACATCAAAGTATGGGAAAGCCCAAATGAAAAGTGGCCTCTGTTCTTAAGCGAGGCGTCGGTGTCCAGAACCCAGGGGGCTTGCTCACTTGTCCTCCCACAGCCACGGCCTGGGCTTCTTCCAGGAAGACTCAGGACCCGCCCTGAGACTCTCCCCATAACCACCCTGTCACCGGAGAGCAGCGACTCAGAAAGGTCTGCCGCTTGCCTCAGGTCACACGGTGTGCAGGGAGCAGAGCCCGGACCCTCACCCATTGACCCCAGCCCTCGGCACTTGCCAGTGCACTACCCTGCCACCTTGCCACCCGGTGAGACACCAACTGAGAGGGCCACAAACCCTTCCCATGTGGGGCAGAAATGGCTGTGGCTGCTCCTCAGCCAGGTTAGCAAGAGGGCAGGTGGCAAATGCTGGGAATGCCCCTGCACTCAGCTTTTAAGAGTCTGTGCGCTGGGTATGACCCACCCTCTGGAGACACTGTCCTAGGGTGTGTTTGGCCACTGAATCTTGATCACATCAAAAGGTCTTTGCTAAAACGACCCACCTCACCAGCTTGGGGGCAGCCAAGAGCAGTAGGGAAAGGGAAGTTGGGGCTCAGGTCTCTGTCATTTCCACTATCCTCTCTGCAGCTACTCCTGGAGTGGGGAGCCACAGAGAGCTCAGTGGGGGCCTTCTCTGAGTCCTCCCATCACCCTCAGTCTGCGTGTGGCCCCAACAGTGACTCTGCCCCCTCTCAGTTGAAGTCCCCAGCCCCTTCTTGATTCTCTGTCTGCACCAGAGCCTGGCGAGGGGTCTGACCAGCACAGCCCACCTATGGACACTGACTGGGTCAGGTGTCTGTCTGGCACAACTGGCTGGGGCTCTGAGAAGGGGTATGGGCGAGAGAACAGTCATGTCCAGAGCAGTCTGCTAAACAGAGGCCCTCCTTGGGGACCAGGGACCAGGATAGCGTTTAGCTTGTGTTCAGATCTGGAGGACTCCAGACAAACCGCTTCCCCTCTCTCAGCCTATTTCTTACTCCCAGGTATGGGATGGTGCCTTGGCTGACACAGCATGCTTATGCCTATGACCTCGTCAGAGATCACAGACAGGGAAACGGACACCCGGGGAGTGATTTGTCTAGAGACATACAGCAAAAACGGGGGAGGCCTGTCCCACAGCCTCTGTAGCCCCATTGCTAGAAACGGGCCCTTCCCTCTCCCGTGCCTCCCAGAGTCCCTCCCCGAGTCATCCGGTTCCACAGTAGCACCATGGGCCCCCAAAGGGCAGCACTCAGATATGGGGCGTTTGGGAGCCTGTGGGCAAGGGCAGGGTGCTCGGGGTGTCCTAGGCTTTCAGGCAGTCCTCAAAGAGTGAGAGGGAGCCCCTTGATGCCCTCCATGAAGCTGGGTGCCTCAACCCCCTTTCTCCCAGAAGGGAGAGCCCAGGTTAAAAACTGGAGCTCTGGACCCAGACAGACAGGGTCTAAATTCCCCAGCACTACCCTGGGCACCATGATTCTGTCCCTCACTGAGCTCTCTGTGGCTCCCCACTCCAGGAGTAGCTGCAGAGCAGGTGGGATGGAGCCCTCTGTGCCTGGCAGCGAGTGCTGTCAGATCTCTCTGCACCCTGGCCCTTCTGGACCGCCACCTGGGGTCATCCCCTGGGTCACCTGCTTTGGGGTCTAACGTCAGCCCTCCCGGGCAGCTCTCTCCACTCACCAAGGCACCCAGGCTTCGTCTTGGTTAATCCTCATTCTTCATGGCTGACCCCTCACCAGGCAGGGCAAGTGGGAGCCACTTGGTGGCAGTCTCGGAGGAGGTGTAGAAAGATTTGCACTGCCCACCACTCCCCCACCAACTCAGCTCTGAGAAGGTCAGGGTGTTTATTATAAAAATTGTTATTTTTTTTTTATTAAAGGAAAGTTACTGGAAAACTAACAGAATCCCACAAAGAATATCACCCTTAAGGGGCCTCGATTCCTCCTATTCAGGAAATGTAGGGGGAGAGCCATGTCCCTTTGGCTGGCTCAGTTCCCCTCCTATAACCCCTTGTGGAGAAACTCTGTCTAAATACCCCCATATTTTTGCCCTTGGCCTGGAAATTCCCTGCCATACATTTTAGTATATTCAGCAGTGATTTGCAGGCTCCAGCGGGCATCAGAATCACCAGAGGCAATTGTGAAAATTCAGATTCCTGAGCCCACTTAGAGCTTCTGATTGAGCCGGGTCTCCGGTGAGGCTGGGACTTTTAAATTCAGTTTCAAGTATGCTTAATGAGGGTTGGGGACACTTGCGGCCATTCTGCTATCTGACCACCAGAGGGCGCCAGGACCGGGCTGAGTGGTCGCTCTGTGCGGTCCTGTTCTTGCAGACAGGTTGCTGTCATCAAAGACAGGCTAGGGATCCGCTGAGTCCAGTGGGGAGGAGCTTTCGCAGAGAAGGAAATCCCACGTCCGGAAAGACTCTGGCAGCCCGCACTGGACACCTGGCTAGTGCTCAGAGAGGCCAGTGCAGAGCTTGAAATGTACATCAGCCTGTTCTGCGCTGGGGCATCCCTGGTTCAGACGCGAACGCTGAGGGGCAAGGGCTTAGTGGCAGCTACTCTGCCTCCCAGCCAACTCAGGACTCTTTGTCCTGCCAGGGCTGAGGGCAGAAGGTGGACCCCAGTAAGTCCAGTTATGAGTCAGCTCTGAGTGCCCAGGTGATGGGACAGGGGCTGGCCAGGGATGGATGCTGGCCCTCGCTACCCTGCTTCCGCAATTGTAGCCTTGGTGATTCAGCTTCCTCTGCCAGCCTAGAGGGGGCCCTCCCTGGGCTGGGGAGAGAGGAGGTGCTGCGACTAGGGAGGGACAATGGAGAGGCCTTAAAGGGTCCCCGTAGTCCAACTCTTCTGAATGCTGAGGTCCCACGAGATGACTGTGGCTAAAGATCGGCCCTGGGATGGGGGCCCCTGGGGGGAGGGCCCTAGAAGATGGAGTCTCCTGTGATGCTGGGGGTTTTATTGGGCTCTCGCAAAAAAGATGCTCCAGTGTCTCCTTCCCTGATTTGGTCTCTATAGGAGACTCGCCCTGGCTCTGGGTGGGGAGGGATCTGATCCTCTACTAGTCGGGGGAGGAAGGACCGACAGGATAACCATTTCAGCTGCAGGGTGAGTCTACTGAAGGAGGGAATAAAAGGCGGATAGAGGAGTGTGGTGGAGAGGGAGGCGGGGCTAGACATCGCTCCGGGCTTCAGGGACGCGGCCCGGCCGGGGGCGGGGCCAGGGGCTCAACCCAACTTTCCGGGTGGGGCGCGGGCGGTGGCGGCAGCGGAGGCGGGGCCAAGATCGTGGAGCCTCGCCCGCCTGGCCTGGCCTGGGCTGGAGCCGGGCGGGAGCTGCTGTCTGATCCACAGCCGCAGCTCGAGCCGCAGCCGAAGCACCGGCTCGCTGCCGGAGTGAAGCCGAGCCGAGCCGAGCCGAGCTCACTGCCTGGCACCCGCCGGAGCGCGGGCCTGGGCGCAGTCGGAGGCAGCGAACCGCGACTACCAGGCACCACCGAACACGGGCACAGAAGGTTGGATCACCCCTACCAGGCCTGGGCATGGCCTGAACACGCAGGCGATCGCGGATTCTGGACCAAAGAGGACAAGGAACAAGGATTCCATCCAATATAGCGTGGGCACTAGGCAGGAAGAAGAATAGAGACCTCACCTGGCAAGGGGCAGAGGTGCCCCGAGCTTACTAGGCCAGGACTGAGCACCAGAGAGCCTGGCATCTCCAGCAGCCGCCACCTGGGCTCTGCCCTGCTTGAGCCGGAACACAGCTCTTGGACGTTGGCTGGCACAGGCCTGGCAGAAGAAGCGGTTCTCTCACCTGTCTGAAAGGAAAGTTGGGATCTGAGAAACCAGGACCTGGCCTGGACCAAAGGGGCTCTCTGGTGGCTCAGAGCTGGTTCCTGGGGAGCTGGCCTCCTGCCCCAGCCCCACTGGTCCGGATGTGCCGCTGTCCTCTGGAGCACCATGACGGCAGGATGACCTCTGCTGAGGCAGTGGCAGAGACTAGCGGTGCCCGGGTGGCTGGGTCCCCCGAGTGGCCCCCTGATACCCACCAGGCCCCCGGGTGGCCTGGCCGGACCCGGGTGGCCGTGGCAGCACTGGTGTGGCTGCTGGCGGGAGCCAGCATGTCCAGCGTCAACAAGTGGATTTTCACGGTGCACGGCTTTGGGCGGCCCCTGCTGCTCTCGGCGCTGCACATGCTGGCAGCAGCGCTGGCATGCCACCGGGGAGCGCGGCGCCCCATGCCCAGCGGCACCCACCGCCAAGTGCTGTTGCTCAGTCTTACCTTTGGCACCTCGATGGCCTGCGGCAACGTGGGCCTGAGCACTGTGCCCCTGGACCTGGCACAGCTGGCCACCACTACCACGCCACTGATCACACTGGCCCTGTCGGCGCTTCTGCTCGGCCGTCGCCACCACCCACTGCAGTTTGCCGCCATGGGCCCACTCTGCCTGGGGGCTGCCTGCAGCCTGGCTGGGGAGCTCCGGTCACCACCTGCCGGCTGTGGCTTCCTGCTGGCCGCCACCTGCCTTCGCGGCCTCAAGTCCATTCAGCAGAGTGAGTACCCGGGTCTCTGTTTGAGGAGGTGGGGATCAGGGTGGGTGTGCGGCCTGGATGGCCCTGTGAGGGATGTGGCTGTTATCCCATTTTACAGAGCAAGAAACTGAGCCTGATGGCTTTGGAAGAGGCAGAAACTGAGGCTCAGAAAGAGCCAACAACTTAGTCAGTTCCAGGCCCCAAATGTAGACTCTGGAGGCCCAACTAATATTTAATAATAGCTGCCACTGACCTGTGTCCCATGTTTTGTCCCCTTACCTCACTGGGTCCCCATACTGCCCTGATCAAGGAAATCACTGTACTGTCTTGTCCCCATTTGACCAGCAGAGAGGGTTGCCCTGGGCCGTGTGGCGAGTGAGCAGCTGAGGTATGATTTGAGGCTGGCATTCAATCTCCATGCTGTCCAAGATGTGGCAGAAGGCTGTGGCCCCAGAGGGAGACCTGACTGCGGGGACCGGGGAGGGAGAAAGAGGGCAAGGCCTTGAGCTGGGGTTTGGAAGGCCAGGAGGGACCGTGTTTACTGGGAGCTGCAGTGTAACAGGCCTGTGCTGGGTGTTGACCTTGAGTCATCAGTGCCCCCCCAGCTTCCCCCCCGCCCATTTTACAGATGATGGAACTGAAACCCACAGAGGTTTGTGATTTGCCCAGGGTTGCCTCACCCCTGATGACAGGAGACAGGGGACTCTGAGCAGAGAGTGGGGGAGGCTCCAGGCCTAGACCCCACTAACTCACCCTGTCTGAGGGTGGAGGCCACCATCCTACCTGTCCTTCTGAGGGGAGTCTCTGTCATAGCCCTACTCTCTCTCTGCCTAAATCAAGGGGGAGGGCGGGACACCCACTTGGGGCAAGGAGGCCACACCTCTGCTCATATGGGGTGACCTTGGGCAGCTCTGAGCCTTGTCTGGGCCTCGGTGTCCCTATCTGTTTGGTGGAGAAGGGTCAGAGTCGATGGAGTCCCAGGGGCCTCATGCTCTCCCTCCCAACGCCAAGATCCTGTGACCCAGGCATGTGAGAAGGAAGGGGGGCTCCAAGGGCACTGGGCTGGGGTTGGGGGGTGGCCCGCAGCCATGGAAGGTTGAAATCAGGATTCAGCCCTGTCCTGGCATCTTCAGAGGCAGGACCCGGAGGCCCTGTCCCCATCCTCCCAGGTCCTGTGTCAGGGCCGAAGCCTGGTTCTATTTTTGCCCTCAGGTTATATGAGAGCTGGTGACTGAGCTCAGGACTGAGTTCTGGGCATGAGTCGGTAGTGGGAAACCTGACCCCCTGGGCACACCTACTCCTCCACCCCCCAAACCAGGCAGGGCCACAAGGCCAGGAAGGCTCAACCTTGAGGCCCACACCACGCCTGCTGAGGTCCAGAGCTCCTCACCCAGAAGGAGCCCCGGCCTGCAGAGTGGGCTATGGCCGGCCAGGACCCAGGCACGCAGGCACGGAGTGGCAGGTGCCTGGCATCAGGCCCCTTCTTGGCCTTCACCAGCTCCTCCTGTCTCTCCCTTGTCAACTGCCTGGCCCCCTGAGGGGGTAGGGTGCTTGTTTCAGACTCCCACAGCACCCTCTGCTTCCCCCATCAAGACTCCGAATGCCCCACATTATAGCCACTTGGTTACCTGTCTGAGTCCCATCCGACAGGAGCTCCGAGAGGCCATGGACTAGGTTGGGGCAGCTCCGTGTCCCTAGCCCTGGCCTGAGACCTGGCACTAGACAGGTCCTCCTGAGGTGGTAGATTTATCAATGGTGCTGACAGCAGAGTTGGCAGGCTGGCTGGGCTACGTGGCTCGGGGTGCTCATGAGGGAGCTTAGGAGGCTGGGGGCCCCACAAAGAGAGAGGGGGCCCAGCAGAGATGGGGAGGAACAGACTGGAGCCAGGGGGGTGGCATGGGTTTTGGACAAGAGGATGTTTCTACTTCCCAAGGTTCCAGGAAAGGTGCCAGGGCCGGATTTAGATTACAGCAGACTGCACAGGAGCAGAGGGCGATAGTCCCAGAAGAGCAGCACCCAGGAGGCCACAGGCAGGGCCAGCAGCCTCCCTCCTACCTGGGCCAGTTGCAGACTCAAGGAATACGTGGGGGAGGAGTGATGCCAACTTCCCACTCGCAGATGGGCTGGGAAGTAGGGCATGAACTTGTTCTCAACTGTACTCACCTGCATCAGGAAGCAGCCTGACCTGACCTCTGCCCTCTGAGCTATGAGGCTGGGGGGGAGACGCCCTCAGAAACAGATATCACAACGACAGGAGGGAAACTCCAGAGCCAAGGTGGACACAGGTGTGGTCGGGCAGTTACTTACAGGGGAGACCAGAGAAGGCTGCCTCAGGGAAGAGGAATGCAGCGAGTGATGACAATAACAATAACAAAATCACAGCAGCAAACACTTGCGGAACCCTCACCGTGTACCCATGCTGTTGCCCAGCTCTTCGCACAGCAACAACAGGAAAGGGCATTCTGGGAGCAGGAAACAGGCCGTGCCCGGGCACGGGGCGTCAGCCAGCAGGAGCAGAGTGTGTGGCATTGAGACAGCTGCAATGGTGAGCAGTTACCACTGGGCACCAGGCCCTGTGCTCAGCACCACACACAGCCCCGTAAGGGGGGGTATTGTCATGTTCGCGATGCTACACAGGGAGAGACAGCGCCTAGAGAGGGGGTGGCTTGCCTGATAGTATGCAGCTAGTGAAGGAGTGAGGATGGGATAAGCCAGTAGCCAGCAGAACAGGGTCTAGAGAGTGTGTCTGTCTGCGTGTGGCAGAAGCTTAGGCATGTTCAGATGCTCCAACAAAAATGCCTTTGGAGAAGGCAAGGTTGCAATGGAAGGCTTGGGGGTGGTGTTGGCCAGAGGAGGGGTCACTAAGAAGTCAGGATGACAGGCTGGCATTTTGGGGGCTTTGGACGGGGTGAGCCACATCTGGCAGAGGATTGCCGCCCTTTCCCTGGGCTGCAGGGGACTGAGGCAGAGGGCTGGGTGGGGTGCAGAGCAAGCCCAGAGGCTGAGGGAGGAGGTTAGAGCCTTCCTGTCCGACGGTCTCCTGGAGGTGAAGTTCACCTGAAATCCTAAACACCTTCTGATGCTTGGCCCTCCAATGCGCAGGCCACAGGCAGCTCGTACAGCGCTAAATTTGGAGCGAACGAGCAGGAGGTATTCCAATTATCTGTTCATTTCTAGAAATGCTCGAGCCAGAGGGACGGTTGCCTAGAGAACAAAGCCAAAACATCAAAATGAAATAGAGAGAGATTTCCTATGCTGAGCGTAGCCTCTGAATAAGCTCCTCGGTGGCTCTTTGGAAAGGGTGTGTCAGAGAGACGCACAGAGGCTTGGAGAGCCCCCGGATCGATTACTCATCCGTCTCCACCAAAACCCGGACGAGGTCCCACCCATCAGGGCCTTCGTGCGCACACCGCCCTTCATGTGAGCTGCGTCTGACGTTCATGACGGCCCCACTCCCTTGGTGAACTGCCTGGGTGGCAACACGCATACACATGCGTGTACACACAGAGGCACGCATTCACACAGGTGCAAAGTGGCAGGATCCCCTCTTTCTTACGAAGCCAAAACATTTCCCCTTAGTCCCAGACTCATCTCCGCGAGCCCCAGCATTGGGAGCGAAAGATGCTGATCAGTGGGGCACGGCCAAGCGCAAACAATGAGGTTTTTGTTGTTCTCTCGGTCCCAGTGGTCATGAGTGAGTGAAGCAATGAATGGACCTAACATTCAACTCAAACAATTTAATATTTTAAAATTCTCTGTTTTTTTTTTTTTTTTTAAATGTAAAGGCCATGTTGTTGAGTAAGTGGTAGAGCTGGAGGCTTCTGTGGGCCTGTCCCCACGATGGGGGCGGGAGCTGCGCTGTGGCCTAGTGGGTGTGCCAGGGGCTGAGGAAGGCAGGTTGGGCCACGGAGTGCAGGGCCGTCACAGCTGGGCAAGAACCCAGGCTACTGCTCCCCAGGGCCCGGGGAGCCCCTGAAGATATTTATTTATTGGGGGGAGCCACACTTCATATTTACCGATCGTATGACTGTCGCTACTAGGTGATTGTTTTAGCCTCATGGAAAGCAGTTTAAAGGGGTTGATAACAGGCCTATTTATTTTATTTTATCTTTTTACATTTACTGAACACCTACCTTATGAAGGACTTTATGTATGTTATCTGTTTTAATCTCTATAAAGACCCTCTGTTTTAATCTTTATAAAAGTCCTGTGTACTAGCTTTCATTATCACCTAACTTCGCAGATGAAGAAACCTAGGCCTCCACAGGCGACGCGAAGTGCCAGGTCACAGCTAGGAAGGCGAGGACACAAGTCAACAACCCGGGCAGTGTGATTCCGGATTCTTGATTATCGCATTACAGGGGCTGGGCGCCATGTCCTGGAGGATGGGCCTTGGAGGTCACGCTGGGCTGGCGAAGTGGGGGTTTTCTGCCCACAGGGTGCTGACTGACGGTTGCTGTCCTGGTTGCAGGTGCCCTGCTGCAGGAGGAGAGGCTGGACGCGGTGACCCTGCTGTACGCCACCTCGCTGCCCAGCTTCTGCCTGCTGGCGGGCGCGGCCCTGGTGCTGGAGGCCGGCATGGCTCTGCCGCCTGCTCCCACCGACTCGCGCCTCTGGGCCTGCATCCTGCTCAGCTGCCTCCTGTCCGTGCTCTACAACCTGGCCAGCTTCTCCCTGCTGGCCTTCACCTCTGCCCTCACGGTCCACGTCCTGGGCAACCTCACTGTCGTGGGCAACCTCATCCTGTCCCGGCTCCTGTTTGGCAGTCGCCTCAGCGCCCTCAGCTACGTGGGCATTGCGCTCACCCTTTCGGGAATGTTCCTTTATCACAACTGCGAGTTCGTGGCCTCCTGGGCCGCCCGCTGGGGCTTCTGGCGGAGGAACCAGCCTGGCAAGGGTCTTTGAGACCTGGGGGGACCACATGGGCTAACTGGGATAGCCCCAGCCCAAATCTGACCTTAGCCAGTGGCCGTGGGCAAGGTGGAGAGCAGGCAGCCACTGGGGCCGTGGGAGAGAGAGGCGCCTTCGGGAAAGGCGACCTTGGAGGCTGGAATGGGACCTCCCAGAGAGACCCGCCTGTCCCTGCCTGCCTCCCCTCGTCGCGGACCCCACTCACCACTGGATGGTGGGTTCAAGCCTGGCACGACCACCACGCTTGTCAGAGTAATTATTACTGATATCAGTGACTATGCCAAACATCGCTGGCCAAACTTAGAGAACCTCACGGTGTTCCGATGACGACGATGACGATTCTTGGCAGTTGCACAATCCTTCCTCCAGGGAGGGGGGAGGCAGCTAGGGCGCCCAGAGAGGGGCTTCTTGCTGCTGGGCTCCCCTGGGGAGGTGGGGGTCTTGTGTGCCAACCCCTGGCAGCTACTGTGGCCTCACCCCTGGGCCCCCCAATTTTGGGTCTTCCGTCCTCAAATAAACTATTTTTGCTTGTACACCTGTGTCATTCCTTGGGGTTACAGTCAAGGAAATATAGGGAGAGTGATGGCCTCTAGCCACCTACCTGCAGAAAAACAAGAACATCCTCCCTTACCCACCGTGACCTGTCCGGGCCCCAATTTAGCCCCATTATCTGAAGTCCCTCCATTGGCCAGGCCACCATTGCCCATCTTCTGGAGGGCAATAGTGGCTTCTTCTCTGCTCTGCTCTGGGCCCTCCACTCCATCTTCCTCGCGGCCCCAGAGGGATCTTTCTGAAAGATAATGCCTTCCGTAGCTCCGTACCTCTCTTGGGAAAAAGTCAGAACTTCCTGCCCCAGACCACAAGGCCCTCTGCGTCTGGCCCCTGCAGGCTCGCCGGGCTCCGGTCTCACTGCTCCTCTCTCAGATCTCCGTCTTCCCGCCTCATGACTCCCTTCGAGTCCCCCCGCCCCCCCCGATGCCAGGCCCACTCGCCAGAACCTTTGCACACGCTGTGCCCTCTGTCTGGTGTCCTCTCTCTGCACATCCTTTTCCCTTTCATGGCCAAACCCTTGCCTGGGGGAGAAAACCCAAACATGCAACTCTCTGAAAGGAAAACCAAAAAAGGAAGCCTGATGAAGGAAGGACCTTAATAAGGGGCTGTGCCCAGGCTGTGGCTGCAGAGGGCAAGGAAGCAGGGTGTGTTCACGGGAGAGGGAGCACTCGTCAGGGAGGATCTTGTGGGCTGACCCAGGGGACCTGCAGGGGGGGCAGGGCTGTCGTCTTGAGAAGTTCGGACAGCAGACCTAACCCCTAGAGCCATCCCAGTTGCCCCCCTTGACCTACTGGCTGAATTCAGCTTCACTTCTCTCCCATCTTTTGCTTGGCCCTGGGCACTGAACTCCCCCCACCCGCCCCCACCGAGCTGCCTCTGCTGGAGACTGCCTATTAAAAACAATAAGGACTTGCCCTGGCTGGTGTGTCTTAGTGGATTCAGCACTGGCCTGTGAACCAAAGGGTCGCTGGTTTGATTCCCAGTCAGGGCACCTGCCTGAGTTGTGGGCCGGGTCCCCAGGGTGGGGTGCACGAGAGGTAACCACACATTGGTGTTTCTCTCCCTCTCTTCCTCCCTTCCCCTCTCCAAAAATAAATAAAATATTTTAAAAAAACAAGAAGGACTCTGTCTGGATTAGGGAAAATGGGGACCTAATTCTGCTTTGCCCACTTCACTGTGTACAGTGTACCTTAGGTAGGTAGCCTCCCCTCTCTGAGCCTCAGTTTCCTTATCTGCAGAGTGGGGCTGATGATCTCCCCGTGGGCTCCAGTGAGGAGCCCGGTGGGCCCGGCCAGGGAAAAAGAGGGGTGATGGTGTCAGCAGGCTTGGTCCCTATCTTGGGCTATCATCTTATCGTCTACTTTCTCCAGCCCCATCTGGAAAGCGAGACAGTATCCCCCTTCTGTGTGAGGATGGGAGCTAGATTAGGTTGGGGCTGGGGTCCAGGGGGCCTGGGACCCAGGGAGGAATCATTCATTCACACAGCTAGAATTCACGGAGGACCACTGTGCCAGCCAGTGCTAGACAGCGCAGCCTGAGCAAGGCTGGGAGTTACCTGGCCCGGGAAGGACATGTGCTAGGTTTCCTGGCCTTGACCTCCATCCAGGCTGGCCTTGTGGAGGGAAGTGGGCCCAGGATGAGTCACTCACCGCACACCCTCCCTGTGACTCAGAGATGCCAAAGGCTCAGCCCTGTCCTGAAATAGCCTGGGCATCTCCAGCATCCATTCTGTGGCTTGGACAAACAGGACAGAGGACAGTCACCCTTGGGTGGGCAAAACATCCTCAGTACTCAGGACCCTTCCCCATTCAAGGCGGCGCCCTGTCATAGCAGGAGCCTCCCTGCAGCACCCTTGCCTGGGCTCCCGGGCCCAGTGGAATGCTTGGCTTAACACAGAGCCTCCTGTCAAAAGCTAGCCCCTGGTGGTTGTAGGGGTGGGACAGGGGGGAATTGGAGCAGTGCTTGACCTGGGGGCAGGCATGTCACCAGACTCAGGACTATTCAGCATTGAGGTGATTTCCCCAGGCTCCTAGTTGAAGTCCACCCTATTGTTCCTCCCAGCAGTGGGCGGAGAGCACTCAGCTGGGAGTCAGAAAGCCTGAGTTTAACTCTCCTTTCTCACAATATGACCTGTCTAGTCTCTCCTGACTTCACAGCATCTTGGAAGAGAGGATCACAGGACTAACTAGCAGGAAGGGCTTAGAGGGTGAATCTCAGTGAAAGGCCACTGTCCCTCTAGGCTCTGCCCCTTCCTAGTTCTATCACCTCAGGCAGGTCACTTCACCTCTCTGAGCCTCAATCTTTGTACCCAGGCCCTGCTGTGAAGCCTCCTTGGGATAACAGATGTCACATTCCTTGGGAAGCCCTTCCCTGCCCCCACCCTTGCTCTGCCCCAAGCCAAGCTGAATTAAAGATCATCCCAGCTCCCTGCACTTCCCCAGGCAGGGCTGGGTGCACATTCTATTCTCAGAACTGCTTTATCACCTTTTCTCCACCGGCCTCGGCTCTGGGAAGGCTGAGACAACTGTCCTGCTCGCCACTGTCTCCCTGGCACTGGCCCAGACAAAGCAGGCAAAAGAGAATGTTAGTCAAGAGCAGGGGCCAGACCTGGTCAAATCCCAAATCCGGCATGTCTAAGCTATGTGACCCTAGGCAAGGGCCTTCCCCTCCTGTGCCTCTGTGAGGTGGGGACAGCAGTAGAACCTAACCTCAGCTAGCTCTCAGAAGCTGTTAAGTGCTTAGCAAGTGCCTAGAAGCTAATAGGTCCTCAAGAAAGGTTAGTAGACAGACTTACTATAGACACCCAGGCACTGCCCAGTTCCTCCCGCAAGGCTTCTCGTGCTACCCCCACCCCCAGCCTTCCACTGCACAGTGAGAGTCCCCAGGGCATGCTCTTGCTGGAGCAGGGCTGGATGGATACCCTAGCTCCCACCACCTACCCCTGTCTCGGAGGAAACGGGAAGCTGGGTCTTTGCTGGGCCTTTGCTGGGCATCCTGCCATTGTGAGTTCAGGACAAAGCTGCTGGCTCGTTCAGCCCCAGCTGCCAGGGGCCCCTCCTGGCCTCCCCAAGGGGCCCTTGGATGGTGATTCCAAGGGCCAGGGCAAACAAGGACTCTTCTTGCTTTCTACTCTGCTCCGAAATCAGCTTAGGGATGCCAGAAATTCATGCTGTTCCTGCTTGGTTGCAAATGTTTCCTGGAAATAACAAAACACAATGGAGAGCCGTGGAAGGTTTTGAGCACGCAAGAGCCCTGATGCTCAATAAACATTTCTGGGCAATGGACATTCAATTTGGTCTGGGTCCTATGTGGAGGAGATACTGAAGGGGCAGGGACACCAGGGAAGGGCTATCATTGTGGTCCAGGTAAGCAGATGACAGTGGGGACAGTGTCTTACGTCCAGCACGTAGTAACATCAGTTGTATTGATTTGGGGTGACAAATTATGCCCAGACATTATGGCTTAAAGCAACAAATATGAATTATCTCACAGTTTCTGTGGATCAGGAATTTGAGGGTGGCTTAGTGGAACAGTTCTGGCTCAGGGTCTGCCGGGAGACTGTAGTCCAGATGCTAGCCAGGGCTGCAACCACGGGGAGGCTTGGTGTGACTGCATCCACTTCCAGGATGGGCCCACTCACATGGCAGAAGGCCTCGGGTCCTTGCCATGTGGGCTTCTCCGCAGGGCTCCTGGGACATTGAGGTCGGCCCGCACCAGGGTGAGCAATGCAAGGCAGCAGGGAGCCACAATGTCTTTGAAAATCATACTCATTTCTCTAACGCTCTTATTTATTTGTTAATTCTAATATCTTCATTTCTCTAATATCTTACTGGGTACAGATGGACCCCATTCAATGTGAGCAGGAATGCCAGAAGGAGGAGATCACTGAGGTCATCCCTGAGGCTGGCTACCAGATCAGTGAATGTTGAGTGAGTGATTGAGCAGGACACAGCCTGGGGCCATGAGGAATTAATATGAAAGCTTCCTGATCCAAAGTGGGATATCTTGTCAGCCCCACCTCTGCATCCTCCCTGACACAGTACCGTGCAATCCTGGCCCACAGCAGGCACTTGGCACATACACATGGTGATGGGCCCTGGCCAGGTGGCTCAGTTGACTGGAGTGTGGTCCCGTACACCAAAAGGTTACAGCTTTGATCCCTGGTTTGGGTGCATATTAAGAGTCAACTGATCGGGCCCTGGCTGGCGTAGCTCAGTGGATTGAGCGTGGGTTGCAAACAAAGTGTTGCAGGTTCAATTCCCAGTCAGGGCACATGCCTGGGTTGCAGGCCATGGCCCCCAGCAACCGCACACTGGTGTTTCTCTCTCTCTTTCTCCCTCCCTTCCCTCTCTAAAAATAAATAAATAAAACCTTAAAAAAAAAAGAGTCAACTGATCGGTATTTCTCGCTCACACTGATACTTTTTTCTCTCTCTTTCCCCCTTTCTCTATAAAATCAATAAACATAACCTCAGGGGAAGTTTAAAAAAAAAACCCATGGTGGTGGATTTCAGAGAGCCACATTTGGGGCCTCGGTCAGCTGTTTCCAGAATTGGAGGCTGGGGGGCACAGTCTTATGGCCGCCACAGATGGCACTGTGGCTCCTGTTTACAGAGTAAGCAGAATTCCAGAAAAGCTCCAGGGTCTGCATGAAGTCATAAAGCAGGATAAGAATCCACAACTCGACTCTCATCCCAAGCTCCTTCCCAGATGATATAGATCCTCAGTCCAGAGATGGAGGTTGACGGAGTCTCAGGGCATTTGGACTTAACAACCCAGGATAGGTAAGCAGGGCTGTGTACTTCAGGGTCAAGAGGTACCTGTCACTGGGCTTTGTAATGAGATCACCATGTCAACAGAGGTCATTCAAGGGAAATCCCCAGGGCCACGGGCATTTCCCTATTTATCTGACAGGGTATTATAAATTGCACAGAAGCTTCTCAAACCAAATTTAATTGACTTTAATCCATCATAAAGAAAGAAAGGGATTCTGTATTTTTGGAGTGGGAAAGTTAAAGATTCATGAAATCAAACAGAGGCCTGGGATTCCTGCTCCAAGCCAGGCTTTTGGGCCGTGAGGACCATTTGATTCTCCCCCGTGACAGACTTGCACCAAAACTCCAACATGACTTCCTTTCCTAGGTTGTCTGGTTAAAGGGCCACTCTACTCTTAGTCCCAAAGAAACAGACTGAACTGTTTGGGAAGAGGACTTGGACCCTCTCGAGAGCCCTCCACCTCAACCTCTCCCACTTCACATGTGAAATCCTGGTCCCACCACATCCAATTCTGAATATAAAAAATATAACTTAGGAAGAAAGAGCCAACATTATATTTTCTCAACTATAAAAATATGCATGAAAGGAAGGAAATAGACCACAATACTCAAATCTTGACCTGGTTACTGCTTGAAGATAGTATTGTAGATGGACCGTATTTGTTTTCCTTTTCCCACAAATGAGCATGTGGGAAAAGTAAATTTCTCAGGGTTCTAGTGCTGAAGAAGATAGAGTAGGCAGAGTCTGTCCTCCCCCCCAAATACTACTGAAAACCCTGGACAGAATGCACGAAGCAGCCATCTGACGACTCTGAAGAACTGGTAGGTGGCCTGGGAAAGGAACCAGAACTTGAAGTATAAACAATCTGGTGGCAAGTTCCCTGTTTGGTTCCTGTCTCTCCCAGCCTAGCCGAAAAGGCAGTGTGAATCATGGAATGGTGCACTGGACACGAAAAGAACTCCAAGAAAAGCCCTGGCATTGTCTTCTGAGGAGTAGGACGGGGGGGGGGGGGTGGCCTCCCGTCAGGACAGATAGAATGAGGGAAATCATCTTTTTTCCTTTCCCATCGGCCCTGCCCCCAGATGAGCCTCACACTTAAGTTGAAACTTGGCAGTGGCAGTGGCATCTGAAAAAGCACCTAAAACTCTGAGGGGAATCCTTTTCTCTGACCAGAAGAACCGTGGCCTGAAACGTATGTGTGTGTGTAGGGATCTCCATTTCCTTTTCTCTCTCGTCATATTGTCACGTGGCCCCGGAGCAGATCCAGTCCCCGAATGTGTGTGGCAGAGCACGGAGACTGAAGGGGCGCCCTGACTCCTAGCTGGGGGACTAGAGAATGAGCACTCGTGAGAACTAGAAAGTGCGAGGAAGGTCGTGGAGAGGAGGGCGCCTGAGAAATGGACCCCATACAGCTGCAACATGAACTGCTCGGTTCACATGGGTGGGTCTGGTCCTGAACAATATCCCAACGACTCTGAGAACTAAACTTTCAGGCAGACGCCCCGGATTTCAAACTGGCCCCCGGGTGGCACCAGCTTAAGACAGATCTGACTTACATTGGAAGTTTGGAAAACTGAACTGATATTGGAACTCTGGTCCTGTTAAAAAACAAAATTCAAGCAAGTACATTTTTAGAGATCTTACTGGCTTTATTCAATGATTCATGAATTGAGCAGCATCCAATCTAGCAGATAAAAAGGAGCTCCAATGAACTGTACAGAATAGAAGACCTTTATAGGCAAAAGGGAGCAGGAACAGAGAAGTCATTCTAAGCAAAAAAAAAAAGTGGGTTTGTTAGCAAGGTTATCGGGAATGACAGGATCTATCAGGCAATTCCTGATTGATTGGTTTGAGATTACATGTCTGGGAGAGCTGAAACTGTAATTAGGTCTCGATTTGGTGACATGGGGTTTAGCGTAAGTGACTCCATTTTGGACCTGTTGTCTTATTTCTAACAGCCCACAGGAGGCAGATCAGAACTGAACTGAAATGCGTCAACTCCTAAAACAAAACCTCAAAATTTTCCAAAGGATTTAAACAAGGCCTAGAGTCTCAGAACATCATACTCAAATGTCCAGTATACAGCCCAAAATTATTCTACATACAAAGAACCAAGAGAGTCTGAACACATGAGATGACCCAGGTGTTGGAATTATCAGAAAAAGTCTTTAGGAATGGAAGGACAGAAAGCCTCAGCAGAGAAATAGGAGATACAGAAAATAGCTAATAGAAAATTTTAAACTAAGAAAATATATTAAAAATTTTAAATATGCTGGGTGGCACTGGTTGCAGAACAGATGACTGATAGTCTGTGAACTTGAATAGACCAATAGAAATTATCTGTGGTAGGCAGAATGCCTGCCCCTGCTAAAGATGTCCAAATAACACCTTTTGTGTTATTTTATATAACAAAAGGGACCTTGCAGACAAAACTGACTTTAAAACTGGCATTATCTTCATTTTCTTTTTTTTTTTAAGATTTTATTTATTTATTTTTAGAGAGGGAAGGGAGGGAGGGAGGGAGGGAGGGAGAGAGAGAGAGAGAGAGAGGGAGAGAGAGATATCAATGTGCGGTTGCTGGGGGTTATGGCCTGCAACCCAGGCATGTACCCTGGCTGGGAATCGAACCTGGGACACTTTGGTTCCCAGCCCGTGCTCAATCCACTGAGCTACTCCAGCCAGGGCAGATTACCTTCATTTGCAATGTGCTGAATCTAATTACATGAATCCTTAAAAAGCTGAGAATTTTCTTTGACTGAATTCAGCAGAAGAAAAAGTCAGAGTTATTCAAAGCATGGGAGGGCCTCAACCCATCACTGTAGGAGAGGGCCACATGGAAATCACTAGAAGGAACATGGCAGCTTTAGGAAAAAAGACCAGCCCCCAGCTGATAGTAAGAAAATGGGGTCCTGAATCCTGCGACTGAAAAGAAGTGAATTTGGTCAACAACCTCAATGAGCTTGGAAGTAGAATCTTCCCCAGAGTCACCAGTAAAAAAATGCACTTCCCTTCAGCCTTATGAAACTCCTTCATTTTTGTCTTGCGAGAACCCAAGCAAATGACTCAGTCAACCTGACTCCTGACCTACAGAAATAACAGGTGTTCAGTCACTAAGTTTGTGGCAAATGTTATGGCAGCAAGAGAAAACTAATATGTTATCCAGTATGAACAGCAGAGAGAAAAAAATTTAAAACAATAAACAGAGCCTCAGGAATTCTTGGACAGTATCAAAAGGGCTAATGTTCATCTCGTCAAAGACAGAGAATCGGAGAACATGGAGGAGAAAATGTGAAGGTAACAGCTGGGAGTGTTACTGTAGACAGTGAGTCAGAGCGCTGATTTCAGGGCCTACCAGTGGGGCCCACTCATTCATCCCGTCGGCACCTGCCCCTATGGGCCCCGGTGGGTGAGCCAGACCAGGCCACTGGCTCTTGACAGTCAGTGATCTAAATGAGGGCTTCTGGGGGAAGCTGGAAGTATGCTCCTTGCGTTAGGACCCCCAGGTCGCACACAGATTAAACAAAATGAGAGCTCTGAAAAAGCTTTGAAGTCTGGGTGTCCTCTGAGGCAGCATCTGAAGGGATTTAAAACTTTTTTTCCCCACACAGGATGACTTTTTGAAAGAACACTTTATAACAGTAAAGAACTGTGCACAGATGCGGGAAATGCCGTTATGAGGATGGCTGTGCTGACTTGGACCAGGAGGGCCCCAGCGTCAGTCATGACGAGAGCCGCCAGTTGCATGAAGCACCCGCCACGTGCCAGGCACCGTGCTAAGGAATTGTTGAACGGTCACAGTAACCCTGTGAGGAAAGGGCTGCCATTGTTCGGACAGATGAGGAAACAGGCTCCAAGAGGTCCAGGGTCAAATGGGGAGGGGGTGACGAGGCTTGGTTAGGGTCTGCAGCTCCCCAGATCACCAAGCCAAGGCCTGTGAGAGGAACCTCTGAGGCCTGGTTCTAGGCCTCTCCACATGTACCCCAGAGAAAACTAATGCCACCTTTCATCAGAGACTGGCAGGGGATTGTCAAGGGCACTTTGACAACTTATCATGTACATCGGCACTCAAAAAAGTTGAAAAATTTTTGATATGGTGGAATGCTTTCTTTGAAAATTATCTTATGTGTAAATCCAATCCAGAAAACTGCCCCTGTGGTTGCAGATGGGAGTGGGGCTGGCCTGGGGCCCCGAGGGCTCCCAGAGCACTGTTGAGGTTACTTATCCAGTAGGCTGGCCCTTCCTGTGAGAAGCAAGGAGGTGGCATGCTGCTTAAGGCTCTGGCTTTGGGCGTGAAAGAACGAGGTAGGACTGTGGCAGACCCATTCCTGGTGAGCTGGTCTGGGGCAAGGCTGCAGGGTTCCAGTCCTGCCATATCCTTTGAGCACTGGTCCAGTTGACAACCAGCCGCCACTCGCCTTACTCACTCTCCCCTCCGGCCCACAGCCACGACCTATCACTCACAGGGTAGGAGACTTATCTTTACCATTTTCCATTTAGTGAGTTTAATCTTTAAAGATATAGATTACAAGATTAAAAGCTACAGCACGCTTCCTTTTTTATTGCTCTGATAAAAGGCATCATCTGATTGTTTCTGTATCACAAAAGGAATGTTTAAGTTCAGATCTTAGTGTAGGATTGGCGGCAGATCCACACTTCTGACCCTGGTGCAGGAGCTGGTGGCACGGCTCACAGTGGAACCATTAAATGGACTTCCTTCTCGTAGATATCAGGGATCAGTCCCATAGAGGAGTTCACCATGTGCACAGTGTTCTTGCCAAAGAGCCGGAACTCATAGTGGATGAGCTGCTCCCAAAAGCCATTGTTGGGCCGGATGATGGGCCGACAAGATTTGGTCCACGTGTGGGCCTCCAGCAAGGACATGGCGTGGTATTTCATGAGGTAGGCGAGGCAGAGGGCAGCTGAGCGGCTCACACCAGCCACACAGTGGAGCAGCGTGCGGCCCTGCTTCATCTCGACGCTGTGGATGTGGTCGGCAATGGGGTCAAAGAAGTCACAGAGACGCGACATGGGTGTGTCAGCCACAGGCACCTGTACATACTGGATGTCCTCATATAAGGTATTCACCACCTCCACTGAGACATTGATGATCGAGGTGATCTGGTTGCTGGAGAGCATAAGTTTGTTGTTGGCGGCCACCCCATTGCTGATATACAGGCTGCTGGTGATCTGTGAGAGGCCGCTGACCGAGGGCTGTTGGAACTGGACTGGGAATGTACTCAGAGGTGCTGTCATCGGGCCGGTGGGTCAGCGGCCAGTGAGACATAAAGGCTGCATCTTTCTGCTAGGCTGTGTCCATGGAACACTGCAAGGAGGGAGAGAGTGTTTAGAGGGCAGGAGCCCAGCTGGGCCAGACCAACCCCAGAGGATTTCTGGGAAATGGATGGATGGGCTTATAGCGGAATTCCCCAAGGTGGTCCTCTGATCATAGCACTAGGATGCCCCAGGGAACTTACTAAAAATGCAGATACCCAAGCTCTTCCTCAAATCCATTGAGTAGGCCCTGGGGTGAGGAACATGAATACACATTTTCACCATGCTTCTCAGGAGTCCTAATGTGCACTGTAGGACAAAGGACCAACCCTCTAGTGTGAGCCTGGCACTAGAGGTTTCCCCACATTTTTAGTTGGGCAGGCCAACTGCTGAGCTTTGACCTAACTCGCCACCTAGGCTCACACAGCCTTCTTCTCCCTTCTTTTCAATATCCTCTCTTCCCTACCAGCCCCTCTAAGTGGGAACTCACATGGCCCTATCCTCATCTGACTTTATGCTCAAATCATGAGACTCTGAACCAGTGTCCTGACACCAGAGTCCAATGTGCTGGGAGTCACTGGGGTAGAAGAGAGAGGGTCTTAGCTTCCCCTCTCCAAAAACCATTTCTCTGAAGAGACAAAACATGCCCATGTGCAACAGTTCTACACCATTAGCCATGCTCCTACACAGTGCCTCTAAGGACGGCCTGGGGAAGAATGCCGCTGAAAGCTTCCCGGAAGCCAGCGTAAGGGGCACCACACCACCTCCAAATGGCAAGTGCAGAGAAGCAAAGGGGCTTCATACAGGCGTGCCATACCAGCATGACGCTGTATACAGCAGAACTGTGGCGTGTACTCCAGGGTGGGGCAGAACCTCCCGCCTTCTCCTAAGAAATCCCAGGCCCCTTATTCTCCCAGTCTTGAACAAAGCTGTAAAAATAGCATTATCTTCACAGGTTTCACTGACATTGGAGCATTTGGATTCAGAGCACCTCTCAAACCAAATGGCAGTCTTCACGTGGCACAAACAAGTAAGGAGCTGAAGTTCTGTTCCCCTGCTGAATGTATTTCAGTAGCTGCCCACTGTCAAGAGTGAGATGGAGCGCCTTAGCTTGGCTGTCAAGGCCGTTTACGCCTTGGCTCCTGCCCATCTCTTCATCTGTTGGCCTTCCCTATGTCCTGAAGGGCCTCAGCTGGGCTGAGCCACTTCCATATGGATATCTGGTCCTCTCTGGCCTTTGCTGCTCTCAGTCCCTTTCCTTCCAAGGTTGTCAGACCCTAACCTGTTACCTTCAGCAGAGGACTGGTGAACCAGCGGCGTTAGCCAAGGATCACTTCCCAAGGGAAATCTTCCGGGATCACAACCCTCTCCTGCATTTGATCAAGTCCCTGCTCCAGGCTTTCTAAGCCCTGTGTGTTCTCCTTAACACTTCCTGAAGATGCGGTTTTGCCTTGATCTGGGAGTTCTATTGCAACATCACTGTGTCTGTCTTCACTCCTACTGTGTAACCAGTGCCAAGCTCTATGTCCCCACAAGTAGCTGCTTGATGAATATTTGCTGAATGAAGGAATGTTTCCAACCATGACTCTGCCTTCTGAGAAGACTTCTGGAAAGGATGAGTTCTCTGGCTATATTTCTCCAGAATTTTGGGGAGGGGTTGGGTGGAGGTGAGTGTGGTTCTCAGGCTGCTTGAGAGGAAGGACAAAGGCTGCATAGGCAAATCCTACCTACTAATGCCCCAGAATCAAACGTATCAGGCTCACCCCAGGAACAGCATATGGGGCTGGGTTGTCCTTAAAAAAAAAAAAAAAAAAATCCTTCCTTCCCCAACCCAGTTGGAAGCCTAAATGTTCTGGATCTTTCTCATCCAAAAACCTAGAGAAAAGTGGACTGAGGTCCTCCTCCCCTTAGTGCCCAGTGGACAATAGGAATAGGAGAGACTGCTGTTCATTACAGTGGCAAAAAGTTGCAGGACACTGCTCTTGAGCATGAGGTTCGTGATGGCAGGAGAGTCGTATTCATTAGGTGCTGGGGATACTAAAATGTACACAACAGCCATGGCCCTGTCTCTCAGAGCTCACAGCGTAGTAGGAGACACAGATATTAAACAGGCAATTACAGGTGCAACCCAGTTGGAAAATAGGGGTAGAAGATGAAGGATCTTCTACTGATTAAACGAGGTAACCCAAGCAAAGTAGTTAACACAGACCCTGGCACAAAGAGAGCCCTCTAGAAATAATAACTATTCTTGCTTTTGTTAAGGAAGTCAACATGCAGGGCATTAAGGCAGTGAAGACTAAAGGAATTTACTTCTGATCCAGGGCTAGGAAGTTGCAAAGTTCACCTCAAGAAATGACACAAGATCTCCAGAATGTTTGGAGTGAGGGGGAGGGAGGTGGAGAAAGAGCAACTCCACTGCTGCTCCGTTTCACCGTTTTATAGCCTGCAAAGCCTTTGGCTTCCCTCCTCTGCTTCCACCTTCAAAGCAACATAATAGACCCATGTCTGGAGTTAATATCTACATTTCACACATGGGGAAAGTAAGATAGAGAGGGGGAAAGGACCTGTCGCCCTGACCGGTGTGGCTCAGTTGGTGGGGCATCATCCAGCAAAGAGAAAGGACCCGGGTTTGACTCTGGGTTGCGGGCCAGGTTGCCGGCTGGGGGTTGTGAGAGGCCACCGCTCGCTGTTTCTCTCAAAAGTCGATGTTTCTCTTTCCCCCTCCCTTTTCCTCTCTCTAAAATAATTTCTCTAAAGGACCTGTCTACGGTCACAAAGCATGTCCGAAAGCCGGTCCTCCTGGTCTCATTACGTGTGGGAAAGCTTGGCAAACACCGTGGGGCGTTTGTTAATTCTGGGTTATACACGAGAAACAAAGTCCACTGATTGAAAGGAGCAAGGTGCCATTTCCAGGCGAGAGCCAGATAGGTTTCTTGGGAAGTCGGCATTGTAATGGGCTTCCTCCTCTGCTGGGTTTCAAGACCTAGATGGTCTTACCTCACTCCCGCCGGCGCGAGGGCAGGTTCGTTCAGGAAGCAGCCGCTCCCAAAGACTCGGACGCGGGTCTCGGGGAGAGAGAAGACCGGTCACGACCCGGGAGCCACAGTCCCTGGCGGCCAGGTGCTCTGGTTTCCCTAGTGAGGACTTCGCCGTGCTTAGTCTCGGAGAAATCTCGGCCTCGTCTCCCCACCCTGGAGCTGCCCCGCCCGGACACCCCCAGTTACCCGCCCCAAGATCACACGGCGGGGCCAGAGCGCCCCACTCGAGCAGTAGGATCTGCTCAGCAGGCACAGCCCATTCCGTTGGCCTAGCCCGTCGCCATGGCAATTGGAGGGCCGCACCACGGCAGCCGCCGAGGGACAATCTTAGTGTCCTCAGCCGTTCGGGCGCCGGAAGCTTCCGATCCTCTGGGTCCCGCCCCATTCTCTTGTCTCCCGGGCAACCAGCCGCCGCTCGGTCACTGTGTCTCCGCACCCGCTCACCGCGCGTCATTGCCAGTCCACCCAGAATGGCTCCCAATCTGGCTCCTAATCCTGAGTCGTTCGCTGACGTGGAGAACGAGACTGCCCAGCAGCAAAGGCCTTCGGTCTCGTGGAACTTAAGCTTGCCCGCTGTCAATACGGCCGCCATCCAAGCGACCCCCACTTCTGCCACCTATTCGGCCTCATCCTTTCTCCGACGCCGCAGGTTCGGCAACGGCCCCGAAGTCAATTTAGGGAGCCAGCCGCACATCGTCTTCCTGCGCCCGCGGACCGCGCAGCCGCTAGTGCTCTTCAGGTGCGGCCCGGGTGCCCGGAGCTGTCTCAGACACCTCGGGGGAGCCCGAACTCCTGTGCACCCTGGGCCCCTCAGCTGGTCCCTGGGGTCCCGACTGTCTCTCCCACAGTCCAGCTCTTTCCTAGACCCCGGGAGAGGCGGGATGCCTCACAGCCCCGGGCCCCAGCTCCTTCCCGGTTCAGCTCTTCCCACCCGCAGGAGGCCGAGTCCGCTCGGCCCTGACTCCGGGGAGAAACCGGAAATCCCACCTCCAACCCCCCCCCCCCGCCCCCGCAAGCTTAATCTCACAAGCTTCACGACGCGTCGTCCCGGGGTCCCAAGCGCCCTTGGGACAGAACCTTGAACTTACTTAGAGCCCGGAGAGGCGCAGGTCCCCTGCGGCCTGACACCCCTCTCCTCAGCCTCTGTGTTCTCCAGTGGCCCTGGGAAAACTCCAGTGCCCTCAGCTCGGCCTCAGTCTGGCCTCAGTCCCCGGAGAGAAAGCCCTCAGTTCCCTCAGCCTGGCCTAGGTCCTCCCGCCAGCATGCTCCAGGCTCCCACAGAGGCCTTGCTTTGGAAGACAATTTGGTTCAAAACAACCATTTATTACTTAAAAGGGATTATTTCCAATCACTGCCTTTTTTTTCTTCCTTCCCAGGAAGTACTGATAAATTTGGTGCACCCCTGAATAGGTAAACAGTATTTTATGTCTTTAAATATTTTAAATCTTTTTTTAAACAGGATTTGGGGGACTTTTATATGTGATATCTCGATCTCTAAACCAGACTTTTTCATCACCTCATGCCTTTGGTGTCTGAAAATTGTAAATGGGAGATCGGGGTCGTTTATTTCCACTAGTTTGTTAATGTAAAAGCCGTGGATCCAAATTGGCTGAAAATGAATTAGGAAAAAATTTTTTAATCCTTCGAAATGTTTTCTTTTAAAAATTGTGGTTTTTTGTTTTATGAAAGTAGTATACAATTATTATTAAAAATTTCATACAAGACAAATTAATATGAATGACCAGAGATAATCACTGTTAATATTTTGTATATTATTCTGGATCCATTCATATATGTTTTTACTACTACATGCTTACACATTTTGGGGGGGGAGGAATGTCACCAAAAAGCTCACTATTTTGTAGCCTGCTTTTCTCACCACTTCATACATTATGAATATCTGTTTCATTCATAACTACAGAGTATTTTATTGAATGACCTAACCACAGTGCATTCAATTGCTTCTCTGCTGTACATTTAGTTTCCACATTTTAGAAAGAAAATATGAGCAATTCTTTTGAAACGAGCAACAACATTTAAAGGTACATAATTGCAAAACCATTTTGTGTTGTAACCAAATGATCGAAAAGTGAAAAGTCGGTGCCTGATATTATCCACTTTTGACCAGTTCCTCATTTTGACCAAATCCTTATCTCTAGTTTTACCTGGCTCCATTTCACTGCACCCCACCCCATCCCATGCCACCTCATTTCCCACCTCTCACCCCCCAGAGTCTCCTCAAACATTTGTCCTTCCCATACTTCTCTCACTGACGTTTTCCAAACCCTTTGCCCTTAGAATTCCCCTGTTAACCAACCTAACCTCTGTCCAAACTCTTTATTTTCTCTTTTCCTGTAGCCCCCTTAGACCTGGGCTCTGGAGCAGGTACCCCCACCTCAGCTCCCCTCAAATTCAGCCCTTTGAACCCAACCTTACAACTTTTGCTCCTCCTCTTTGAGACCCCCGTTTCCCATTTCATCCTGCAGTTATGCCTTAAGATGGCTGCTCCAGTGGCCAGTTCTGAGTCCTTGCTGACACTTCCTTTGTGGACTGCTCTTTCTACTTCCTTTTCAGGATGGCTTTTCCTCTCAGCATCCAAGAAACTACTCCTTTCACACACATTTCCCACAAGAAGAAACCTAGGCCTCCCTTGCTCCTCTGACAATTACGGCAGAGCTGTGCCTCTCCCCAGAAACCTGTGGAGGCCTCAGCTGCTACCCCAGGGCCCATCATATCAGGCCCCAGCGGTCTCAACCTGTACCACCTTCCTCTGCCCCTTTCAGCTTATTGAATTCCAGTGAAGCAGCTGTGACAAAATTTTTACCCAAGAGCCACTTATCTCGGGTGATTATTCGTGACAACCTCAATGCACAACGACTCTATGAGATGGAGGTAAAGTCCTCACAAGCTTTTGTGTTTTGGAGGGCGTTAGTGGCTTGACCCACATTTATTTCACTCTCACTGACATGTTGGGGGAGATGGCAGATCTCAGAGGTGGTAGGGAGCCACCATGGTGCTCTAACGCAAGTCCCGTTTTCTAGAGGACACTGAGACTCTGGATTACCGATTTGCCCAAAGTGGCACAGCTGTTCCTGTGCTGAGGGAGCTTGGGAAAAGGATTTCATGTTTTGGCTCTAGTGACATTTTTTCCCCACTCAAAGCACATTATTGCCCTGGCTGGTGTGGCTCAGTTGGTTGGAGGGTTGTTTGGTGGACCAAAAGGTCGTGGGTTTTATTGCTGGTCAGCACACATGACAGGGTGGTGGGTTTGGTCCCCTGTCAGGGAGAATGTGAGAGGGCGACCAATCAATGTTTCTCTCTCTCCCCCTTCCACTCTCTAAAAGCAATGGGGAAAAAAAAATGTCCTTTCTATTCAGGGAATCTGTGAATGGATTCCTACTATCTCCCATAAAAAGGAGTCTTGGGTCCTAGAGCTTGCAATGGCATCAACACAGTTCGGTCAGTTTTTTCCTTTAGGGATTGTTCCCCATTTCTCATATGAGAATTGAGGATCTTCTAGTTTTTGCTTACGGACAACTAGGGTTTGACCTGGTTGAGCTGTTGCCCCATTCTTCTATTGAGCCCCGCTCTGTGTTCCAGGGCCAAGTCTGGATGGGCCCACGGGATTCTGACATTGAAAAAGGAGGAGGAGGCCTAAGAGATGGTGCCAGATCCCCTTAAGGGCCACAGAGGCCAAAAGAAGAGTGGAGGCCTGGTTGTTTCTCCCTCTGCTGAAATTCCAGTGACCTACTGTAGTAGAAATAGGGTGGTGGACTTGAAGATGGGCAGGCCAGCTTCGTGTGACCTTGGGAAATCACATGTCTTTCAGTACTCTCTTTAATCCTTTGTAAAAGAGGGTCTATCAGAATTCTCTCAGTTGCAGGTAACACAAACTGAAGTGGAACTAGTTCAAGCAAAACAGAGAACCTCGAGTTCACATTAATGAGAATGGGTAGAGTAGGGTCACAATGTTTGAGATGAAAGAAGCCAGGGGCTGCAATACCAATGGATATGTCTTCCACTGTCCCTCTTTGTCTCCTTTTCTGTTTCTTTCTGCATGTTGGCATCATCATTAGGCTAGCTGTCTGTGGCCTCCCCTGGGACTGTGGCCACAGGAAATTCTGGCCTGCAGCCCAGAAGGGAAATGGAGTGATTTCACTGTTGCTTGAGTTAGACAAATCCTGAAAAAGGACTCCAGTTGGCCCAGATGACCCATCCCAGCACCAATGACTGTGGCCGGCTGATATAGGCCACTCGGACTGGCCCAGGAGAGGTTGGGTCCAACTCTTATAACCAGTGGGTGTGGGGGATGTTGTACCTTTGGCAAGCGGGGTGAGTATCTCTGAGATACTGTAACTGGAAACTCTCTCAAGTTTTATGTGTACCAGAGGACTGTGCCATCCAGAAGTTCTTTTAAAGCTGAATTGAGCCCTTGTGTATCTTACGTATTCAATATTCAGTAGGTATTATTGCCCCATTGAATAGTTCAGGAAACTGAGGCTCAGAGAGATGGAGTAAATTCACTAAGGTCACAGGGTGCATCATCGCAGAGTTGCAAACCTGGGTCTGACTGACCGTGGTGCAGGATGATCTCCCTTAAGGAACAGGACTGTCTTGTGTGTACCCAGTGGGTTGTTCAGGGCTCAGTTTGTAGGAACTCAGCAGAGTTGAAGCTTGAGTGGCAGCATGGATGTGTTTCTGTCTTCCTCCAAAGTGCTCACTTTAGGGGGAGAGGCAACTGTGACTAACCACTGATTTCTCAGGATCTTAAGGAGTGCAATCAAGACCTAGTGTCTTAGGAATCCTCTGAGACCACTCTGAGAACAATGATGCTGATATCTCTTGTCATCCCCAGTTGAAAGAGGGCCATGGCTTTCAACTGGGGATAGTTTTGCCCCTCAGGGGACATTGGCAATGTCTGGAGATGTTTTTGGGAGCACAAGTGAGAGTGGGGTGACTCTACTGACATTTAGTAGGTAGAGGCCAGGGACGCACAGAGCAGCTCCCCACCGCAAAGAATTACCCTGCCCTAAGTGTCAATAGTGTCAAGGCTGAGAGACCCTGATCCATAGTAAAAGTCAAGCTCAAGGTGAAATCACTGGCTTAGGCCCAAAAGCCTGCTGTCACAGGGGTGAACTATTAGAAAATAGTGATACAAAGCAGCCACTTCTCAATGGCTATATCAGCATCAACTCAGGTACATGATAAAAATATAGATTCCAGGGCCCCATCCAAACCTGACTAAGCTAGAATCTCTGGGATCTATATTTTTATCAACTAACTGAAAGGGATTTGCACCACATCCTTTAGTATCTATATTTTCTGCCACCCACCCTCCCTCTTTATCCTTTGCTCCCAAGATCCACTCAGGCACCAACTCTCTGTGTCAAATAATTATGACAACATTGACCTTATGGAGCTCTCCTTTGCTTACATTGTGCGTATTCTGAGACAATGTCAGTGCTTAGAATCCCCAGGAGAGTTTGTTAAAGTGTGGACTCTCAGGATTACCTCCCGCCTGGGAGGTACTGCTCAACACTTCCCAATCCTTCAAAACCCAACCCTCCCCCACAATTTATATGCCAAGTCCCCATGAGGCTTTTTTTGCTATCTCCCTTCTTTGAACCCGATGCTTTTTAAAGGGCTGTATCACTCTTTACCTTGCTTAGGAATATTTGGGCATGTGTCTCATCTTCCTGACTATGTTGTAATTTCTGTGAAGACATGCAGCTGATTTTTTCTTCATATCCTCTCCACAGCTAGCTTGTCGGAATAAATAAATGAACAAGTAAATAAGATAGTGGATGGGACATACAGAGTGTATGTCCCATTGGGGACATGGCAAAAATGATATGATAGAAGAAATAACTAGAGTTCAATGTGATGCAGGGGATGTCTCACACAATATGCGGGAAGCACTAAATGAGTAGTAGGGAATGACGATAGAAAGTAAAGAATGGGAAAGGGAAGGAATAAGATGTACCTGTGTGCTATACCCTCCTCCAGCTCTCTCTGACCAGTCTTCAAAGAGAGGTGGTAAGGTCAAAATCAGGGTCCTAGGCTGCATACTGTCAGAAGGGACCCTAAGAGTTAGCTAGCTCAATGTCCACATTTTACAAATAGGGAAACTGAGGTTCCCTGTGAGTCAAATTATTGATGGACTATTGGGTCCAGCTGGCACCCCCCCCCCCCCACCCTCGCAACCCGTGTCAGCAACACAGATGTCTCTCTTGTGGAGTAGTTTCTTTATCCTAACTGCATCTTTTTGTTGTTGTTGTTGTAAGATTAAAGCTACAGAAAAGACCAAGAAAAAGATGAGCCACTTGCATGACCACCTGAAAAAAAAGTTCATGACGGACCAGATCAGAAAGCTGGGGCGCTGGAAACGGGAATCCATGAATATCAGGCATTACCTGGATAGCTTCCGAGTAGCAAAGCCACTTAATTCTAACAAGAAAGCCAACCGCTCTAGTCAAGGCAGTTGGTATGCCCGGGGACCATGACAACACTCTACTGACAGGAGGAGAAGATGCGGGAGCTAGCCAGTTAACACCATTCTACAATAAACGGAGACCAGCAGGCAGTGGAGCACAAAAACCTCTACAATTCTGATGTCTCTTGCCCTGCCCCATTCCCTCCGTTCTGTTAAAGGAGATCCTGACAGTCCCCTAGCTGCCTAAGTGGAGGGGGCTTCACTGAACCAGCTTTCATGGTTAAAGCAAAGATTGACCTTCAGTGCCCACATGTCTGAGGTGAAATGCCAGGCCAGGTGCACTGGGACATTGGGAAGGGCTCTGTAATGCCTAGCCTTCATTTCAGTGGTAAGGAGGTCAGGGTGGGGCATCAGATAGACCTAGGTCAAGTGCTGTTTCTCCGTCAGCAGTGTGACTTGTAAACTCTCTGAACCTCTGTGTCCTTATCTGAAAGAATGGGTGAGTAACGAGGGACTACCTCCAAGTGCCTGGCCCAGGGCCCATCATTTCCAATGGCTCTCATCGTGATGGCTTCACTCGGCTTCCAGTCTTTGCAGTCCCCACTCCCTGGCCTGCCTGCTGTCCCAACTACACCCCGATAGTCCCCCATGTTGTGCCTTGACTCGCAAGGTCCCTTCTCTAGAATGCCTCTTTATTGTCCCCAGGACTCTTGGGAAATTCATCCTTTAAGGCTTATCTCAATGCTAGTTCCCCTGTAAAGCTTCTCTGATCTTCTGCCTCTTGCCTGCCCCTTACCCCACCCTATCTAAACCACACAGGTTTCCCCTCCCCCTTGAACTTGGATTACCTGTGGTGGTTTCACTCTGCCTTGTGTGGCAGCTGTGTGGATAATTGTCCCAAACTCCTGATTAGACTGTACAGTCTGAGAGCAAGGATCTAAGATCCTCCAAGATCCAGTTCAGGCCTCTTCTGTGACATTTCCCCTGACCTGGTCCCAATAGAGAAGGCCACTCTTTCCCGTGCCCAGCAGACACTTCTGTCTGCACCAGGCATATATGGTTGGCCATTTCTTGTTTGCTCCCTGTTTCCCTCACTACATTGTGAATGTCTTAATGGCATCTCTGTAACCTCAGTGCCTAGTAATCAGGGTAGTTGGTGTTGTTTTTTTTTAAGTTACTATCTGACTCTGTTACAGCTTCAGCACAGTGCACAGAGTAAGAGCCTGGTACATATTCTTCAAGTTAACCACGTGCCCTCATTTTACAGATGAGGAAACAGAGGCCCAGAGACATGACCTGACTTGCCCAAGGTCACAACAGGTTAGTGGTAGAGAACTAGAAACAGGTTTTCTGACTGCTGTGGGGTGGTCATTTGTCTCGGCCACCAACCGGCAGTGACTGCAGAACACTGCGGATGGCTCATCAACATGCAAGAAAAACACACAGACATCCAGGTCCTGTGCAGAAGTAGGAAGGGAATGGCACTCTCTCTAGTAGGGAGCGCCCGTTCCCCCGAGAGGCTTTTTATTGGTTTCATTTGCATAAGAATTCAGGTAAAGCTCATTACTCATTTTTAGGAAGTAAGGATCAAACAAGGAAGTCTGAGGGCCTATTTTGAGTCAGGGTCAAAGAGCTGTAAAACTCTGAGGAACAAACTTACTTCTTCCTTGGACCCTTATCATTCAACTGAGAGCATTCTAACCAAAGCAGGTTTCACAGGATTTTACATATTCTTTCTTAGGCCTGATCACCCGGGGAACCCACCCTTTCCAGCACAGGGCTGCACCACCATCTGTCACTGTGAGCAAGGTGGAGCAAGGGAAGTAAGGCAGCCAAGAGATTAGGAGAATTTCTCACAGACGATGAGGACTCAGGTTTTGTCAAAGCCAAGGGGCGAGAGTCCATCACCCCCTTTTGCTGTAGCCCCCAAAGTCCTTCCTTAGGGGCCTCCCACATGATCATGCCTGTCTTAAGTTGTTCCCCCCTTGGGGAATCTTACCCATCATTGGCTAACCAACCAAGCATTGGGGGCCAGTTATAGATGAAGTAAAAGGAGCAGAGGCAGTGCTCCTGCCAGGGAGATAAACTTTTGTCTCCTTGGTGGCTTAAGGTTCCAAGGTCACCCACTCAGCCTTAGCCTTGGCGGGGGTTACAGCTTCTGATACCAGGCAGGGCTGTTCCCAACAGTCATTCTGTATCACTACAGCTGCTAGGTAAGGACCTCAGTCCTCTTGGCTTTCAGAAGTCTTCCTTTACCTGTCCTCAACCTCATTACACCCTTTCAGCATTGCCGCCTGGCCATTCAGCAGGCTTTCCTCTGAGCTTGGTCTCGGCGATCCCCAGCAATGGGACCAGAAAGGGATGGGGAGCCAGATGTTCACGATTTCTCCCCTTCAGGATCTTCCTCGGAGAACTAGAGCATGCTACTTTTCAGCAGGAGCCAAAACAGTCTTCTTCTAGGTACTTGCCTGTTTTCTTGGCTGAGCACAGCCGATTAGAATAATTGATTTTAAATACTTAAATTTTGTTTTACAAGCAACTTGACCATATTTGCCCCCCCCACCCCCCGCCACGCCAAACTCCTATTAGATTAACCACTGCTAGCATTTTGGTATGTTTCTTCTATTTGATGTATTTGTTTCATTTCAACATCAGTCTTTTTCCTTCACACTGTATCTAGAAAGGGAAAAGGCTTTGGGGATCCTAAAGTCTTCAGGGGGCTTGCAGAGCAGGCCCGGCCCTGTTTTCTCCAAACTATCCCAGGAACTCTCTGTCTTCTAGATCTCCTAGGCCTCTCTGAGCCTTATGCTTGTCTAGCCACCAGCCACATGCACCTTTCTTCCCTGGATGGCTGGCCTTAGCTAAGGGTCTTTGTGTCTCATGCTGTGGTCCAAAGGACTGGGGGCCCCTGGGAGTGGAGTGGGTGGGGAGTTGGTATGTCAACCTAATGAGCCACTGTATTAGCCACTAACTCATTTCTGCTTGTGTGGACTTCGCCTTCCCACTTTTGCATTAAAAAGCAGAGGATGTTGTATTTAAGTAAGGAACAAGAAGTGATGAAATTCTGGAAAGGCCACTTCATTACTGGGAGTGAAAAAGGTTAAAGATAAGGAAAATCAGTGAGGGAAGAAGGAGGGGTGTTTGATGGGAAGACAATGCTCAGGAAATAGAATCTTGGCTTGAGGGGTTTAGAGATTCTTCAGTGGACACATACCCACACCTGGGTCTCTCAGTTTAAATGAAATTTTACCTGCAAGCCCACTCAACTAATCAAAGTCATCGGCATATTCATATTTATTGAACACTCACCTGTGAGGCACAGCTCTTTTTAAATATGATTCACTGAATCCTCCAACAACAAAGTGGTAATTTTATTATCCCTGGTTAATAGATCATAAATTGAGGCTCAGAGTGTAAGAATCCCGCCTAAGGTGGCCAAGAAGTAACAAAGCCCACCTCAAGCCTGTCTCACTCCAAAGACCTCCTTCTAGCAACCATGTGATAAGCTCCCTATCTGTATCACTCTAGTTGGAAGTAGGAGGCCTGGGACCTGCAGGCTTCGGAACATGATTTCACAGATGATATTGCAGGAACCTCAGCCGTAATGTCAGTTACATGTGGTCAGATACTTAACAGAGAGCTACAGGGGTGGCTGGTTTTTCTTCTACCAGGTGGCTAAGAAGATTAGCATCCATTCTGGGATAAATAGTCTGTTAGGGAGAGCTAGGCTGGGCTCTCAGAGATGTCGGCAAGGGAAAGGTTCACCCCAGAAGTGGAAGAACAGGACACAGCCCATTGCCCTGACCACTGCCCATTGGTTAGGAAAAGATGCAACCCAAGCTTTTGGTGCCGGGGCCAAGACAGATCCCACAGAGACCACAAGGGGTCAGCAGACGCTTGTGTGCTCAGCTAGGATCGGTGCCTGGAAGGCCTGTGCCTGTGTGTCTGGGTCTGAGAGGGAAGCCAAGTCATTTAACTCCTGAGGACTCCAAACACAAACAAGAGGCAGGGACACATCCTGTCCCAGCCCCTTGAAAAGTGTTGACTTGAAAAGTGTTGACTTGAAAAGTGTTACTCTGGGTACATAACATTCAGAGCCTGGCCCAGCTGCTGTCTTTGGAGCTCGGCAGGGCTGAGGGAGCAGAGCCAGCACGGGTTTACACAGGGATCCCTACCTGCCCCAGTAACTTTTCTCCGGGCTTCAGCCCTCCCACCTGCAACTGGGGTGGGTGCTGGTGGCTGGCCTCTGCACTTCCTTTCAGTTCTCAGGATCCAAGACGTGGCACAGAGCTTTGCACACGCAATGCTCCCTACGTATCTGCTGAGTGACTGAGAGCAACTCCTGCTCTGGGCAAAGCCAGTAAAACCCAGGCTTATACAAAATATTCATCCGGGGTAGTTTTGCTTTACTAATTAATATACCACTTGACAAGATGATTCCAATGGAATGCCTTTAGCCAGCCCATCTGCTCACTGGGAACATTTCAAATGTTCTTTCATTAAAACACTGTCATCCAAATACATATCCCTGCTGGGTTCAGTTGGGTCTCTCATTTGCTTGAAGTACCCCCCCCCCCATCCAAGCTTTGTATGACAGTCTTTCTCAGTTCTCCCCGTGGCTCACTTAGCATTCATCGAGCCCTTCATATGGACCAGGCACTCCTGTAGCTGGAAATCACCTGTGAACAAACCTGACTCAAATCCCCTGCCAAATCCCCTGCCCTCGTGGAGCTTACACTGGAGCAGTCCGTAGGGACAAATAATGAATCAGATTTAAAACCCTGGCTGTTGGTGGCTGGTGCCTCCTTTGGGCTTTACAAGGAGAGTACGTTTCACAATTGCCTTGCTCAACCCTTTGGCCACTGGAATTCTACCCACAAGCCTTGAGCGCTCCGTGTGTCCTCACCCCCCGCTGCTGCAGTGAGGTTTTATTGGATGTGCGTGGGCCCTGCAATCAGATGTCTCTGAGTTTGAATCTCAGCTCTGACTCTCAGGGGAAGTCATTTCACCTTCTCACAGCTTCAGCTTCCTTGTTTGAAAGCCAGGAATAATTGTAGTAGCTAGCTCACA